ACAAGGATGACCCCAGCTAAGACTTCTGGACTGGCCATCTCCTGTGACCAGACTTGTGCCTAGCCCAATTGTCATCAGAGAGGCTTCATGTAGCAACCGATAGAAACAGATGCAGACCCACAGTCGAACATCAGGCAGAGGTTGGGAAATCCTGTGAAGCGAGCCAGAGAAGATCGTAGGAGCCAGAGGGGTCGAGGACACCACAAGAAAACTCAAACTCACAGAAACAACTAAGCTGGGCTCACAGAAACTAAACCAACAAACCAGGGAGCCTGCATGGATTGACCTAGGCTCTCTGCATATATGTTACAGTGTGTAGCTTGGCCCTCTTGTGGGATTCCTAATGGTGGGAACAGGGGCTGCCTTACTGGCTCTTAGGACCATACTCCTCATATTCGGTCTCCTTGCTCAGCTTTAATACAAGGGGAGGTGCTTAGTCTTACTGCAGCTTGATATGCCATGTTTTGTTGATACTCGTGGGAGACTTGTCCTTTCCTGAATAGAAACAGGGGGAGTGGTTTGGGGGGGTAGAAACAGAGTGGGAGTAGGGGGAGAGACTGGAGGAAAGAAAGGAGGGGGAAATTGTGGCCAGGATATAAAATAAATAAATAAATAAATTTCTTTTAAAAAAAAAAAGCCTTGATTTTGTTCTTGCTGGGTTTTCCCCTCCCTTCTATTTATTTCTGCTCTGGCTTTTGTTATTGTTCCCTCTGCTAACTACGGGCAGTTCTTTCTTCCTCGTTTTCTGAGGCATGAAGTATTCTATTAAGATCTTCCCTTGTTAAAAATGTAGGCGTTTGTTATTATAAACGTCTGTCTTATGACTGCTCCTGCATCCGATTTAGGTACATTGTGAATCCATTTTATTTCCTCTAAAGCTAACTCTTTTTCCTTTTGAGTTCTCCTTTGACCCATTGGTTATGCAGGATTGTGCTGTATAGTTTGCACACATTTCAATCATCTTGAATTACTAAGACTTGCTTTATGGCCTGGCATGCCTGTCCTGGGGAATGTTCTCTGTGTGCTCCGAGAAGAATCTGTCCTCAGTCTTCGGCTGAAGTGAGCTGCGTGGCCCGTTTGTCCGCAGCATTGTTCACATGCTCTGCGGTCTTTGCTGGGTAATCTATTGTTGAGAATGAAACATTACAGTCCCATTTTTACATCGCTACTTATCTCTCTTTTCAGTCCTGCTGCCATTTGTTTCATGTGTTTAGTGCATTGGTGCATTCACGCTATTATCGCCTTATCTTCTTGATGAATTGATTTTTTTTAATGTTCTATTATGATTTTTCTCTTGGGAAAGTTTTGGGCTTGAAGTCTATATTGTCTGATATAAATATGACCACTGGTGTTTGCTTTTGGTTATTATGTGCATGGGATATCTTTTTATCTCCTCTCTTTCAGTATATTTGTGATCCATGAACACACCATGGTGCATACCAGTAACCCCCAGTGGTTGGGAAGCCAAGCGGGGAGGGTCAGGAGTTGGAGGTGAGGCTGAGCAGCACAGCAACACCCCATCAAAGAAATGAACAAACATGGTAAGATGAACTTCTTGGAGGTGACATATGGTTGTATAGTAAAAAAAAGTTTAAAAATCCATCCAAAGCCAGAGGTAGACGTATATACTTAAAGTTCCAGTGCTTGGGTGGTAGAGACTAGAGGATCAGGAGCTCAAGTCCAGCCCTGGCTAGATACTGAGTTCAAAGCCAGTCTGAGCCACACGCAACCCTGTTTCAAAAAAGAGGGAGAATTCATCCAATCATATTAGACTTTTTGGTGGGAATTTTTAAAATTCATTTTGCTGTAACATAATTCAAGGGTAAATACTATTGTCGTGTGTATTTTGTGATTCCTTTACTGCCGTATCCCTTACTTCCTCTGCGGCTTGGTACATGTATGCCTGTGTAGTATACGGTGCTTAATTCTCTTTCCCTCTTGAACACCTATTAGAAGACATATTTTTAAATATGTTTTTACATTTGAGGGTCTCTGTGTGCACACCCCTGTGTGTGTGTGTGTGTGTGTATGTGTGTGTGTGTACACACTTCGACCATGTAGGATCCAGGAATTGAGCTCAGGTTGTGAGCTCGGCAGACAGCACCTTTCCTTACTGATATCCCACTAGCCCCTTATAAGCGAACTTATAATTATGTCAGCCTGTTTTGTGTTCATAACAACGCAGGCTCAAATGTATGCAAAAGGCAGATTTTTCTTCATCCTGCTCTCAAATTACATGTTGTTATGGCACAATTCGTGACTTTTGAGCTTGGGAGATAGCTCAGTTGGTGATGGACTTTTCACACAAGCACAAGGACTTATGTATATGTAAGCTAGGTATGGTGACACAAAGATGTAGACCCAGGACTAGGAAGTGGAGACAGGAGGCTGTCTGGAAGTTGCCGGTCAGTTAATCTAGTTGGATTGGTAATTACAGGCTTGGTGAGAGACACCCCCCCCCATTTAAAAAATATTTAAATAAATTGGGTGGAATTCACAGAAGTTGTGATTATCCACAGACAATCAAGCCAGTTAAAAACCCCCAGCATGGAAGTGACAAGGGCTTCCTCACCCTTAGCCGAGAAGCTACTGGTAGCTAAGTGCTCCTGAGGGAGCGTCACTTTTCTGTCACAGATTGTCACTGGTTGTCCATGACTCCACATCCGTAACCTTAGGGCAGCTACTAATCGGGCTCAGAGGGGTATTGAAGAGAAAAGGACATGAGGTAGGGAGGGGATGTACTGGAGCTCTTGGGCCCCTGGACTCGGTGGAATTGGATATGATGAAGATATCCTGTATACATGTATAGAATTCTCAAAGAATGGACAAAATATATTTTTAAAAGAAAGAAAAGCCAAGGGGGTTTTTTAAAAAGGTGGAGAACAATTGAGGAAGATACCTCACTGGTTTTTGACAAGTGTGCCCACCCACACAATTTGTGACTTTACAGAGTGCATCACTGATGAATTACTGTTGCATTTTTGTCTTTTAAGTCTTATGCTAGAGTTAAAGCTGACTCTCCCAACACCATTGTATTTTAGGGTATTATAAACACAACTACATATTTATCCTTGCCAGTGAGCTTTGTACTTCACACTTGTCTCGCTGTATGGTCCACGCTGGCCTTAAACTCCTGGCAAGCCTGCGGCCCCAGCCTCCTCAGTGTTAGGATGACAGAGGTGAGCCACCACGCAGCTTTCCCGACATTTCAAGCCTATCAGGGAAATATGGTGGTTCCTCAGAAAACTGGGAATCAATTCACCTCACGAGCCAGCTGCATCACTCCTGGGCATATACACAAAGGACGCTCTATCCTACCACAAGGACTCTTGTTCAACTATGTTCATGATACCTTTATTCATAATAGCTAAAAATAGGAAACAACTGAAATGTTCTTCAACCAAAGAATGGATAAAGGAAATGTGGTGCATTTATAAAAGGGAGTATTACTCAGCTGTTAAAAAAATAACATCATGAAATCTGAAGCAAATGGGCAGAACTAGAAAAAAAATCATCCTTCGTGAGGTAATCTAGACCCAGAAAGACAAACATGCTATATACCCACTCATAATAGCTGCTACAAAAAGGATAATCACGCTACAACCCACAACCCCAGAGAGGCTAAGTAACGAGGAGGATTCGAGAGGGGATGTATGGATTCTCCTGAGAAGGGGAAGTAGAACAGATTTTGCAGGTGGACTGGGATGGGTGGGGAGTAAGGGGGATGAGGTGGGGGAGGGACAGAGGGAGAGACAACTGGAATTAGGGGGCATTTCAGGGCCATGTGGGAACCTAGAGTAATGGAAGCTCCCTGGAATCTATGAACACTCCTAATAAGGGAGGATAAGGAGCCTGAAATGACCTCTCTTGTAACCAGGCAAAGCACCCAGCATTGGGACTGGGACATCAACCCAGCCACAAAAAAAAAACTTTGTTCGACCTACAATCTGTCCTTCCTGCAGGTGTGCTGGGGTAATGGTGGCACAGAATTGTTGGAGTGGCCAACTGATGACTGGCCCAAGTTGAGGCCCACGCTACAAAAGAGAGCCCGTGCCTGACACTTCCCGGATGGCCAGGAGCCAGAGGCTGGAGAGCCCAGGGACTAGGACAGAACCAAACATGACTAGCAAAAAAGAAAAAGTCTCATATCCTATCACAGCCTGCTCAAATTAAGGAATTCAGTTGCACCCATTAATCTATGTAGGTATGGTCATTTGATTTTCATATCAAAGTAAACTTAGATTTAAACATGGCAGAGTCAGGCTTGGCAAGGCACACCTTTAATCCCAGCACTTGGGAGGCAGAGGTAGGAAGATTACAGCTTTGAGGCTAGCCTATGCTATGTAGTGAGACTCTGTCTCCACAAAAGCAAAAAATAAATACACAAATATTGTAATTACTTCAATAGAAATAAAAATCTAAACATCCATCATCCTGGTATCAAGTATGTGCGTCACACTCCACTGCTGCCAAGCCACCCAACCATTCATATCCAAAACCTTTGTTTGCACAAAGCCACAATGCAGGATAGACCATGTCCAAGTCAAGGTCTGGGCACCAGCTCCATTCTTGTTATTGTCAATTTAATACACAGAATAACTCCACTGCCCTGGTCGTCAGTGTGTCCAGTTTCTTGTCCTTGGTATGGATCTGAGAGAGCCAAAGCACAGCTGCTGTCTCCCAACCTTCCTTGTGTCTGTAACTGAGGCTGGCTCACATCAGAGCTTTGGTGTTTCCTTGGCCTTGGCAACTGGCCTTTCAGAGGAAGTGAGAACAAGGACACACACAAAGACCGTACAAGAACAAAGGCAGAGAGGACCTATGAGCAAACAGGGAACAAGAACCCTGTGACTAGGACAACAATGGGGACTGGGGGGGTGGTCAGCGAGGGTTTACCAACCCCCAGGCATCACAGCTCCTCGCTCCTCTACTCAGCATTTCTGCGTGTGCAAACAGCATTTACAGATTTTTGGCTGATGATTCTAATTGGCCTCTAATTGTAAATTAAACCAAACTTTATTTACTGATACAGATGAAAGCCTTTGGAATAAATGTAGTTGGAGAGAAAAGCAATATCCAAGCAAAATAGCTGTAACAGTCCATGCCAGGATGCGACAGAGTAACCAAATGGGTACAAGATGACACATGCCACAGATGCTCGAAGACGGTGCCGGGATTCGAGGCAGAGGGAAAGCTGTCCTCTCGTCCCCCTTGATTTCATGCACGGTAGATGACAGCCACTCCACACAGCTCTCCTGTGCCTCTCTCTATTTTTTCAGTCCTGGGGATTGAACTTTATGTTAGATTGGTATACCACACAAGAAGCAAGCACTCTGTAACCGATCGGTATCCCAAGTCCTCTTTATATTTTTTTTATTCAGAGAGAGAGTCCCACCAAGTTATCTAGGCTGGCCTCCAACTTATTTTCCCAGGTAGGCCTGAACCTTGACATACCCCTGCCCCATCCCCTTGAATATCTAGGAGTATAGATGTGTCCCATAGACCTGGCTCCACAGGTCTTATAGATGATACTACGGAAAACAATTGTTTTTCATAGTCATGATTCCAAGTTCCCAACAGAGAAAACGATTTGTTCTGTTCTGACCAACTTGTCTCTCTGACACAAATGACCTGAGGCATGCATGCTTGTAATCCCTGACTGTAAGAGCCATGTCTGTGGACCATATGGAAGACAGGGACCAATTTACTGAATATGTGGCTGAGAGATCACCCAGCACCAGAAGTCGGTCACTTGTCAATGATCTGATTGTCACTGAATCTTCAGAAAAGTATCAAGACAAGCAAAGTCAGAGCAGCTGCTACACAGGGACTCCTGGGATAGTGGCAGGGGCTAAGTTCCAGCATCCTGTCCCTGGTCTTATTTTAATGTCCCTCTCTATCCTCTGGGGCTTCTTCTCTGATAGACTGGGCTCCTGTTTCCTGAGAAAGTCCATCCAGACTAGTGTTAGGAGCAAGACACTGTCTAGGCTATGGTCAGTTTTCTACTTCTCACCCTGGTCCCTGTGGGAGGTTTATCTTCTGAAATATAGAGTTATTCAGTAGGAACTACGTGTCAAAATGTAAGTTCCACTGTGGTTGTAAGTAGATGGGGTCTAAGTGAATGTAGATCATGTTCTAGATCAATTCTAACATATCAAAGATGTCATACAAAAAATGAGCTGATTTATGTAAATTGTATGTTAATTCTAGATAGCACATTAGACTGTCAATTCATCATTTTACATACTGTGCTTTAATAACCCATCATTCAATATTGCTTTATCGGTTATGGTAGGGTGCTTTTGGCTGCAGGTAAACAGAAACAACGTACTATAACTTACCTAGTGAATTGTTCCAGCACGTGACTCCGCACGTGAAAGCATTCGGCAGGCACACTTGATGACAGGAGTTTGACCCTCAATGGAAAGAAAGAACCAATTCCCCAACGGTCCTCTGACCACCACAAGTTTTCAATGGCGCGCGCACACATACACACACAATACAACAATAATGAATGAAAGAATCTTTAAAATCCAGGTGTATCAGTGCACATCTGTGATCCTAGTACTGAGGAGGCAGAGCCAGGAGACTCATGAGTTCAAGGCCAAGTAGGAGTGCATACAAGATCCCATTTAAATCTGGGGGGATGAAGGTCCAGAGTCTTTCCTACTTTCCCTCAGGTCAGCCTGATCTGACCTACTGACTGACTTCCCTCAGGACCCTGAGATGGCTGTCACTGTCCTAGTAACCACAGGGGGATTCCTCAGAATTGTTTTTTATCACCAATCAAAATATTTCCCCAAAGCCCTAGGCAGATGTCGTATTCTACTGGGAGAACTGAATCGGCCTGTGCTGACACTAATTGCAAGCAGCACAGGACCTAATAATAGATTTCAGGGCTAAGGCAGAGTCAGTCTCCCAGAAACATTGTCTATACCCAACACTTCAATATTTTGTTGGCAATAGTCTGGATAAGTAAGCAATGGTGTCTACCCCAGCTCCTGAGGGACCAAGAATTAAAATTAATAAAAGTTTAAAAACCTGGGTCCTAAGTCTACACAGAGAAAGGGAACTTCTAATGGAAAAGGGAACTCTTTAAATAAAGAAAGCCATGGCTGGCGCCTGAGCCCCTGCTCTCAAGAGAAGGGGAGATGACTGTCATGTCCCTGTCCACCCCCCCTCCTGCTAACATTCCTTGCTAATTGCTGGTCATAAAGATCCCCTGCCAGCTGTAAAGATCCCCAGGCCCAGGGGATAGCTGACAGGCCCTATGACCCCGCCCCAACCTGCAAGCCCATGCCCTGTCTTATCTTACTCAAATGTATCTTGCTTAAAATATATAGTTACTGCTTTACTCTGTATTTTGTATGACCTTAAGTAACCATGGAAACTGAAATTTGCGGCCTTCAATCTTATGGTCTGCCCCTTTAAAAGCTTCTCCTTTTGGCTGGTGGGCATCTCATTTCCTCCACCATGGAAAGAGATCCGGCTGGCCAGCTGAACAATAAATGGAACCTTTTGCTTTTGCATCAGAGTGTCGACTCCTTGGGTTAGTCTCTGGGATTCCGCAAACCTGGCACAACACTCCCACATCTAAGATAGCATTGCCATCCTTAAAAAGAAGATACCGGGTCTGGCGTTGGTGGCACATGCCTACATGTCTTTAATTCCAGCACTCGGAAGGCAGATGCAGGCAGATCTCTATGAGTTTAAAGCCAGCCTGGTCTACAGAGCAAGCTCCAGGACAGGCTCCAAAGCAATACAGAGAAACCCTGTCTGGGGGGGAGGGGAGATACCAGCCCCATTAAACTAAGATAGGGCCAGAATTAAAACCATTTCTACTTAGCTATCCATCCTATTCCAGGTGTGCAGGAAGCTGAACCATGCTAAAATGTACAGACACCATAAAAGCAGCAGTAACAATAGCAGACAGTTAGCAAGGGCTCATCTTCACCAGGACTTCATTAACTGCCTTGAATATTAAAGGGTACACTGTTCCAGGGAAGGCAAGTAAGGCACAAAATTAGGGAGACACTCACTCTGAGAGCTGTATATGTGCAACCAGGCATCTGTAAATAGATGCCTCTTAAATTTTGTACCCTAAAGTCCTAGCTTGCCTGGCCCAACTTTCCAGATCTAGCACGACACTCAGAACTAATGACTAGTTGTCCATTGCTGGGGCTCAGGAGGCCCAGGTACTTGAAGAATCTCTCTCAAGGAACTGCTCTCAGCTGCTTTATCCAGAGTCTTAGTCCCTTTTACTGGCAACCTCCATCTAAGGACTGTTAAGTACAGGGTATGAAGTCTCAGAGGGGTCACCTGCCATGTCCCTTCACCTTCAGGGATTGACCTAGCTGGGGCAATGAAGGAACGAAGAAAGGGCAAACATAGACACACAAACAGGAAAGCTTGGTTTGGATGGGCTGTGGTTGCTCTGATGGAGGCCATTAACTGCCACGGCAGGGTTAGCTAATCTCAGTGGCAGGTCTCTGTAGGGAGCAGTTTCAGGCTTCAGTGGAGGAAGCTGTGGTTGATGGCTTCTGTACAGTCAGCATCCACACTATGACCAGAGGGAGGCTTTGCCATACCTCTGAGCCTCACCCTGCCACTCCCATGGGTCTGTGGCATCGGGGTCCTTGACATGACTGTGCCCACGTCAACAATATGCATTCACTCAAAACTTCAACCACTCCCTATAGTCATCTTCCATCTAAAGCAGCCCACAGTGTTGGATGAGGACTTTCTTGTGGCTATGTTATTGGTCGTCTTCCTTTGCTCCGTATATTTCCTTCACTGCTAAGGAGATTTGTAGGAGGAAACAGTGTTCTGCCATTAACCATGTGACTTATTAGAGGCGCATATAGATGAGGTAATAAAAGGGCGGTTTACCGCACCACTAACCACACCCACTTCAGGCATGACTAAGGACGTATACGGACGTAGATGGTGAACTACGTCACTCACTAGCCAGGCCCACTTTTGGCGGAAAACTACTAGGTTCATCTGGGTTACTTGTTTGTCTCTTGTGAGTAATTTCTACAATAAATACTTATTTTTACTTTCAGTAAGTGTGCCGTTTATCATTGCAGCATCAGGGATTCACTAGTACTCTCTAGCATTCAAACCTGGACATGGAGTTCTGTCCCCATCTGAGATCAGGTCTCACTATGGTAGCTCAAACTAGCTTTGAACTCAGGACCGACTGCCTCAACCTTCCCAGTGCCCAGCATAGACCCCACTTCTTAGCACACTTGTCCCAGCTACAGTAAGCGCAGGAATAATCCCAAAACAGAACTAAAACTAGTGTCTCCTATGAGAGAATGAAGCGCCAACAGACCTATGATCGAGGCAGTTCAAGTCTGAGAGCCTGCCTGGGGTGATGAAGTGAGCACACCGTAGAGAACCACAGCTGGCACGTGAGAGATGCAGCAGGTGATAACTACATGGACTCAGGGATTCGGTGACTACTCTTGGAAAAAGAGATGCGTTCCAGAAAGACGTGAAAGCCTGTGTGAGTAATCAGTAATTTAAGGTAAACATAAGGTTTGGACATGGGGGCATTTAAACTGTGCACTTGAAAATCTCAAGTCCTGGGGTCTAAAACTGGAGGTGAAGCATTGCTTACTCCTTCCTGGTAAAAGTTAACACTAGGTCACTCCTTACTTGAAGAGAAGTAGGACTTATTGCAAAGGCTGTGTTGGCGGTGTAATTTCTGTTATTTTTGTTTTTAAGATGTATTTTTTAATTATATGTATGTGTGTTTGTGTGGAGGCACATTAGCGAAAGGACCAGTAGACGGCTTGAGAGGGTGGAGTGCGCTATAGGCTGTTGCGAGCCACCTGACATTGGTGCTGGGAACCCAAATAGGATCTCTTGCAAGACCAGTACACACTCTTAACCTCTAAGTCATATCTTTGGCATATGTTTTGAACAGGGCTCACTGTAGTCAACAGAATATTTCAGAAACTACAAAGTCTGCAGTAGGCCATAAAAGACATTGCCGTCTCCCTTGTGTTTACCTTTTTGGACTACTCTCTCTGGGGAAAGGTGCTTTTTACATTTTTGAGATAATCAAGAAGCATTGTGAAGAGACCCACAGAGCAAGGAACTGAGACTTCCTGCCAATTACCAGTAAGTAATTGTCACTTCCTGGCAACAATCATGTTATGAACTCTCTTGGAAGTGACAGCAATGCCAGCTAACACCTTGTCTCCAATTTTAGAGCCTTGAGTCGGAAATTGTGAACCAATGTTTTTGTTTTAAGCCGCTAGATTTTGATACTAATTTGTTATACAGCAATAACTAAGTAGTATACCCGCTCAGTCATCATTCCTGCATCCCATCTTGATCATCAGATATCTAACTACAATTACATCAAAATATAACCAAATTGAGAATGTTCTGGGCCTTCTAAGAAAAGAAATTATATTCCCCCCACATAAACTTCATGACCTGGCTGGTAACACATGCAGCGATAATTAGTATGCTGTATTTGTAAGGGGTAATTTACACCTCAGAAGACAATTCTCAGACATAACTAGGATGGATCTTGGAAGTGATGGAAACCATTAAGTACTCGTGCCAGAATCTCCATGGCAAACACTAAAGGATAGATCACAGAGCTTGGAGTGGCGTACCAGGATATTTATGCTACATAAGATGAGAAAATACACCAGCTGGCTTTGCTCCACCAGAGGGACTGAAGAATTGCTGTCTATTGAAGTGACAAGGAATGGTTATACATCACTAAGAATTTCCACAGCTACCAGCCTTTTGGGGGCCAGGCCAATGATAGTAGATGTTATACAGTTAAACTGATTGACAGTGATGGTGGTAGTGGGACCCTGAAAATAGAAGTAAGGTGGTCACAGTGTCACTGTCCATGGAGATAATATGCAACTATATGAGCCAAAGAAGTCAAGAATGGAGATCAAACCAGAGAGACCCTGTTGGAAAGTTAGTGTCTTTAGCTCAAGTCTAGATCTAAACCAATGTTCTGTCCTAGAATCTACTTACTGGAAGGGAGGCAAGTTCTCTAGGAAGAAGGACCCTGTAGCACCATGATGAGCATATTGTATTGACCTCAGGGATCTATGTTCATTTATACAGGTAACACAGAGGACTCAGGATAAGAGAGAAATCTTAAGCATTTCAGGAATAATTGGACACAGACAGCAATTGACCCCGAAATCTGGGGAGCCACAGCAGTGTTAATACTCCCTGTCCCATTTGACTGAAGAAGAGACACATGGAGGCCAACCAATACATCGAATTCTGTCTTGTGGTAGGCTCCCTGCTTCCTAAACTTGCCCAGTAAGTGTCCATAAATTCAGTGAGTGGATATACTTACTGGTATAATCCTACATATTATCTTGGGAAAGCCTCTGAAACTGCCCTCTCCCAGCCTAGCCATAATAGTAAATAAAAAAAAACCAGTATGTGGTTCTTATGGAAAGGCAGGTTAAGGACACAGGAGTTGTGTGGGTTCCCATCATATTGCCTTTTAATTCTACAAAGGCAGGTCATTGTGGGGAATGACTGTTGACTTGCTCATCATCCTGAGCCCTGGACCCAATTGTAACAACTTCGCCATGTGATTACCTTTTTTTTAAGTCAGAGTCATTCTGTGCAGCCCCAGCTGGCCTTGAGCTTGTGATCCTCACCCTCAGTCCTTCTCGTAGGAATTACAGGTATGCACCACTATGACCAGCTTCAGATGGGTTATCTTGACTAAAGCAGATTAGCATTGCCTCAGGAACAACTTTCAGTGATGGATCCAACAAATGCATTCTTTCAGTCTCTATCAGAGAGGAAGATCAGACCAATTATTTACTTTGGATACACAACAATTACAGTTCAGGTCACACTTCAGTGCTCTGTGAACCTAGGGAACCAGTAGGAAAATGTAGGAGGCCTTACTAAATCACTTGCCTTCCAGATGTTAGGAGTAGATCCCTGCACAGAGTCAATGGCTCACACTATTGTTCGTTACTTCTTCTATCAGGGGATAAAGCAAGCATCTCATTTAATGACAACGTTTGTACCAAGAGAACAATAGAGTCAGTACAGTGACCAAGGAACTGACTGTCACCACCAGGAAACTGTAGGGCTGTGTTTTCAGAATATGAACAGCAAAAAGTATGTTTGATAAGCAGATAATCTAGCTTGGTATTTCTTGATGGAAATTTGGTAAGTATATCAGTCAGAGCCTAATTTTGCACCCACCAAGTAAACTACCTGAACCAGATAAAGGGAAGAAGTTTGACCTGGTAGTAAAAGAAACAGACCGTGAGTGTCAACTGTAGTTTTGAAAGCAGTTGCCAGACAGCTCTTGTTTATCCCATTCCACCGTTCTCTTGTAAATTTTCACAGATAAAAAAGTCTAGGGCTATCTGGAAAGTGGGTTCCAGAATTTTAATAAGAAGCAAATGAACAGGGTGGTGGTGGCGCATGCTTTAATCCCAGCACTGCGGAGGCAGGCACAGGCAGATCTCTGTGAGTCAGGGGCCAGCCTGGCCTACAGAGCTGGTTCCAGGACAGCCAGGACAACACAGAAAAAACATGTCTCAAATATTAAAAAAGAAAAAGCAAGAGATCTGTGGCGCACCACGTGGATGTATCAGTTCTTTCGGAGCCCAAGAACACTTTCTTTTCCTGCTGTGAGGAGTGTGGCTACAGCTGTCACATGCATGCCTCTGCTGAACAGACTCTTTACCCAAGATCACACTTCCCTTCTAGGGACGGCCTGTGTTCAACGACCAGCCAATGTGAGGGTGAAGGGCTGCCTCTGTCTCAATTCAGGAGGGCAGTGAAGGTTGTTTGCAACTGCAGCCAGCAGTGGGGTTAATGGGTTCTGTTTACAACTATATAATGGTTGGTGTTCTTCCTCAGCTCAAAAATGCTATGTTCCCTTTCAAAGAGGACAAGTCTCAAGACCATGCATACACAGAGAGAGAGAGAGAGAGAGAGAGAGAGAGAGAGAGAGAGAGAGAGAGAGAGAGAGAGAGAGAGAGAGAGAGAGAGAAGAGACAGAGACAGAGACAGAGAAAGGGGGAGGGGCTTGGTGAACATGTACATGCCTTGGTTCTGGAGCCTATGCACTTAACTAATACACACTGATTCTGTGCTAGAATTAGCCAAGATTCCCTTGATGAGACCCCGGATTCAACGAGCTGGGCATGCACTTATAAATGTACCTTTCAATTGCGTGTTCCCTGGAAACTACCAGGAGGTTTCCAAGCAAGAAAGGGAAGATCTGCTCCCCGGCCTCCCTCTCCACACTCCATTTCACACAGTGGGTCCCGGGGACTGCCAGGAATGTGTTCCCAAGCTTGTGACCCTGCACAGAGGAATGGCCCTGACATGACAGCTGTGGCCCAGCCCCGGCACTCCCAGATCTGCATGGGAATGGTTCAAATGCACAGTGACCCTGGTTTTATGAACCCAATGGCTAATGAGTGATCGCTGGCTAGGACATACAAGGCTATAGGGATCAAGTTTGTATGAAGTCTCACTTCCTAGAGTAAGGTTAGCTCTCCTGGTCTCCTGAAGGCTGTACAGTGTCAGCACTAGCTACAGGGAATGCTCAGTGTGGATGTGACTTAAGTGATCTCCACTATGACAGAGAAGCAGATCATAATTGGCTACTGAAGGCTAGTTTGAAGCCTTCAGCTCTTTTAATGACTTTGTTCTTGATTTTCATTCTCTGATCACTTTCTTAGTGCCAAGACTCCTACCAACTTCTGCACACATATCATTAAGTAACACACAGAGCAATGACATGTTTAGTCACTTTCCATAAGAACTTCCCCTGCACAACTTCCATATATAATATACCTGGCTGGCAAGCCCCCTTTGTACTACAAATGCAGTGTGTGTTCTGCGGAATGCTCATGGCCCCTCCACTGGGGACTTCCTGAGGCAATGGAAAGAAGAAAACTCTAGGTACTGCTGCCCCAACTCTCACACACATGGTCCCTAGTGTTGCAGGGACTTACCTCCCATCATTCCCAACAACGGTTTTCTGCTTCACAATGTCTGTCTTCTTCCTGTGAATCACTTGGCAAGTTTCAGTATTGTCCTTGTCCTTCCTTGTCATTTCCTGTTCTTCTCCCCACAGCAGGTGCTCCCTGGACCATCTTTAATAAGTACTGGTCCCTGCATCTTCCCTATAGCATCATCTGTGAGGACCCCTTTCCAGCTAGACCATTCCTGAAGCTGGGACACGTGCCTTTGCACAGACATTGGATGGTAGCCACCCGCCCTCAGAGTCAGCTGGCCCCACCGTGTTAGACTCCCTGGAATGTGGTCCCAGGAAAATCCCTTCTCGTCTCCAGCTCCACCGTCCTCACTGTAAGGATAGCAGCGCCTAGGCAATCAATGTTCCTTCTGAGAGCCCAGGAGTAAAGGGGGAACTGACCTTTATGATTTAAAGAGCAGCCTGAATGTCAGCTATCATTATTGCAGTATATGGTTCCTCTGCAGCATGCTCTCTGAGGCTACACCTTTTCCTTCTTTTCTCCCTGGGTCACATTTAGTGCCAGTAAGACTACAAGCTAATAGTAGACACCAAGTTAAAAATAGATACATGAAACCACTGGCCTATCAAAAAAGATGAAATCCTAACCATATTACATCTGCTGTGAGCATTGTGCCTCAGAGTGACTCTGAGACATGCTTTTAGAGACGCTTCTGAAGGGCATAAGAAGCTATGCACAGCCTGTCTCTTCCATGGAAACCTATCCCCGCAAACCTGCGCGGAGTGGAATAGTAGTGTCAAAGCTCATTGCTCCTATCAGCATGGACCAACATTGCTGGAGGACAGTGGAATCTAGAACGCCATTGGCTTCCCACTTTCAAAGCTGCTGCCTCTAAACAGGCAGCTCTTAACAAGGTCTCACTGAAATCCTATCTACTGCATGGTGCTATTAGTTCCTCTTCAATATCTGATGCAATCTAGTGTTTTCCACTGCTTTCTAGTGCGTAGAGTTCCCTAGAAGACAGAAATGAAAGTGATGATTAAGAAGATTGCACTCCAATTTCAAATGTTTGACCTAAACATTGATTCCCCCACCTACCCCCCCATTTCTGTCCCTTTGCCCTCCAAGGGGGGGAAATTACATTTTTAACACAGTGTGCAACCTCCGGTTCATGCTGTTACATGTAGGTTTGCAATCTTCAGACACAAATTTAGTCCACTTCATTGGAACTACATGAAGCAGAACTTAGAGAAATCATAGTTTTCTCCATCTTCTGAAAACATAGGGAAGCTTAAATGCTAGGCATATACCAACTCCTGTGAATGCCTCTTAGAAATAATTAGGCATATATCCACCTTATCTGGGTTGACCCATTTTCTATATCCACTCTTGCTTCCAGGTTAAGTCAATTGCAAGCATCATGTCTGGGATGGAGATATGCATCAGGGGACTGGGGTTGGGGGAATAAGGATGACATGGAGTTTGTTTTGTCAGGCCTTCTCGGGCTCACAGTGCTCTCCAAAACAGGGTTGGATTTCTCAGTTGAGGGTTTTTTGTTTTTTTGTTTTGTTTTTGTTTTGTCTTGGTAAATGACTCAAACTTGAATAATATAAACAGTACTTTGATAGAACTCAAAATAAAAGGACTACATGGAATATTAGTGCAGGTATTTTCAGGGCAGTCTGATGAAGATCTGATCACTCTGAAACCAAGATCTGCCAGAAAATTCAACATGTAAATATTATCAGACAACTCAAATTATCCCTGAATGGTCTTTTGCATGGATGAGGGGAACCTCTGGTATATTTGAGAGCATCATGTAGGAGCTCTTTACTTTCTCCAAGTATTTATTGAAAGCCAAGCTTTGCTATCTTGAAACTAAGCAAAACATTCACACCCCAGGTGTTTACAGACTGTTCGTTAGCCTTTTGTGTTAATACAAGTCAGGTTCAGGAGAAGGTCAGGTGGGGGTTGGAGTGGGCTCCCAGGGCAGAGGTTCCTTATCAAGTCTTTCTCTCTCCTAATGCGTCCCCTCAAAGCCAAACCTCTTGGGATCTGACCGTGTGAGGTGCTGGGGTGGAGGTAGACTCTATTAAGGCAATCCAGAAAGTCACCCCCATGTTCTCAGAATCCCCACCCTACTAAACCTTCCTCTTTGTAGTGCAGCCAAACTCTTTCTCCCTCAGGTATGTTTCTCTTGAGGCAGCTGCTTCCTCTACCACCTTTGACTTCTGGCTGGTTTCCTGCAAGGCTGGCAGAGGCTCCATGTGCCTCCTTCCTGTCATGGGATGTGGAGGAGGCCCTGCTACTTCATTCCTTCCTTCTGTCAGCACAAACGAATGGTCCTCCAACATTCAAACTGCTAGCACCGGGTGCCAGTAAAGAGGAAAATGGAGCAGTGTAAGCATATTTATGTGTGTCGTGCTGTGTATATGGATTGCTTATTCCTGAAGGATATATTTTTTTTTTTGGTTTTTCAAGACAGGGTTTCTCTGTATTGTTTTGGAGGCTGTCCTGGAACTAGCTCTGTAGACCAGGCTGGCTTCAAACTCACAGAGATCCACCTGCCTCTGCCTCCCGAGAGCTGGGATTAAAGGCGTGGGCCACTAACCCCCGGCTCAGAAGTGTAATTTCTAAGAGCTAAGAGTATAGTTCAGTGGTAAAGCATTTGCCTAGCTTGTGCACAGGCCCAGTTAGAACCGCTCACCAAAAGAAATACCTAGTGGGTGTAATCCTAACAACTATTATCCGTATCAGCTGCTGCTCATTTGTCCCTTTCTGCTACTATACGTGGTACGAAGAAAAGTTTCCAGAAAGGACAACTCACGAGGAAAATGAAATTTGACGTTGGTCAAATGGAACAAATTTTCAATACTAGGATAAGGAAGTTCAGGGCTCTGACATACAGTATGATGACCACATTGATAGCAGGGACCAAATACGACTTGCTGAGAGAGTAAATCTTTCAGGGCATGTACACAGGCTCACAGATGATAACTGTGTAAGGTGATGGCTGAATTAACTCACTTTAGCTAATCATTTTACAATGTATATTAGATTTTCACACCGTAGGCCTCAAATGCATGTAATTTCTTAACAAAGTTGGAAAATATATTTGAGGGCTTTTAAACCTAATCTCTGTCTCCAGTTTGCTGGAAAAACACCCCCCTTTCCATGAGCCACCTGTGGTCACTGGATCAGAAAACAAGAGCTGAGTCAGAGGTCCAAGCCCAAGGCCCTGTTCCCCTGGCTCTTGCCAACTGACTACTCGACAAACCACTTTAGGTTACTCAGAAATGTCATTGTGCCAGGTTCTGTTGGATGTGAAAGGTTTGTAGCCCTTAAACATCCCAGGTCTGAGGTGCTCCTGGTCCAAAAAAGTGATCGCCTACCACGATGCAGAATGACAAGTGACCACCACCCTAAAGCTTTTCTCGAGTACCACGTGGAGAGTTTGCTTCGTAGTAAAACTCAGCAGCGGTTAGATCAACTTCCCAGGATGGCAGCCCCTGCTTAGTGGGGTGCTGTCACTCTTTCTATACCACCGTTCTAAGGGGAATCCTAAGCTTCTGAGGGGTCCCCTCATTCTTGCAGACATGTCCTCTGGGATCTGCACTGTGGGTCCTTCCCCTTCTCTGGAAATAGCTTGTCTTCTCTAAATCCAAGGTACCAAGCATACCCCTGCAGTTCATTCATCCCACAACTACTTTTAATCAGTTCAGAGAAATCTCAGGGAAGCAAGTACATCATTTCTATGACTTCAAAATAACACATGCGATCTCTCTAGGCCACAGCTTCCTTAAAAGAAAAATTAGACCTCAAATTCTGGGGTATATGAACTTGGCAAAGGTGCAAAGAGATTCCTCATTACTTCCTGTATTTCTCTTCTGTCTCGTTAGTTCCACAAACTTCCAATCCAGACCCATGTAGAAACCTATATCATTTTCAGCTCCATTCTTTTGTGACCCACTTAGCCAGGCAAGACCTACCTCCTCACAGCTATTGCTGGTAAATTCTTCCTTAGTGAAAAGACAAAACAAAAAATGTGTGGCTGAATGGATTAGTTTGCTCATTCATTCAGAAAATATTTACTTGATTGCTAGTCTCTTTAAGAGATTGTGGTTCCTTAAGAACCTAATCTACTTATTAGGTAGAGACAGAAGGTGCCATGGATGTTTCTATGAAGTAATGAGGGTTTTGTGGTGCCCCGAAGGGAGAATAGGAAGCAATGGGAGAGTAGAAGTCAAGAGAACTGGCCCAGAGCCCTGCCTGCAGTGGGAGAGAAGGAAGGCATGGATGACTGAGTGAATGGATATGCAAATGAATGAATGCATGATTGAATGAATGAATGAACAGAATCATCAGTGAATGGGCAATGTCACCAGTTACCCTCATTCTGCCTCTCCCTGAGGGTCCCTGTCAACTAGCACATTGCCATTTTCAAGCCCTCACAGACACGTCTCATCTGTAGCCTGTAGAATGGTGAAGTCCCTCCTGGAGGCCTTTCTGTCTTTGTTGTTTTGTTTGTTCATTTGTTTGTCTGGTGCCCTCGTTTGCAAGCAAGGATCCTGCAGAACTCCGAAAGCATTTAGAGCCATTTGCAAGTTTCTTCTGTAGAGTTTGGAATTCCTGCTCACCTTAATTATGGGCAGGTAGGTCTCCAGGAACTCCCATTCTTTTTTTTTCTTCAGAAGAATGCAACCTTTTTAATCTAATTTGTGGAAAGTCCCGAACCACACCCCTATGGCCTAGAGACCCATATAAAATTAGTCAGTAGTGATATCCACAGGGATTTTTCTACCTCCTTCTCTTCTCAGAAATGGATCTCCTCCTTCCCGTGATTCCTGGGTGCAGGGATCAATTCTAAGTCAGCAACACCATGTCCAGCTGCTCCTCTGGATTTCTGTAAACATGCCTGGTTCCTGAGGCTGCCTGAGTATCTCAGACTCCTGAACTCCAAGGAGCTTGTCCTCTGGCTTTTCACAAGTTTACCCCAAGTTTCTAATTGCTAGTTTCTACTTTAGCCCTCTCCATTCAGAGCATAATTGCAACACAAATAGTCCGTAAGAAGCTAAGGGACTTTTGTTGTTAATTAAGCTTTGTGTTTTGCAATAAAATCTAATAAATATAACGTAGACTTTAACTGTTTTTTCACAAGGTGAAAATCCCGAAGGGAGATAAATTTATCAAGAAGAAAGAAAAAGAAAAACTTTAGTCATTTCTGAAAAGGGGAGAGGGAGGGAGGAAAAAAACCCTGTGGATATCACTACTGACTAATGTTATCTATTTTTGAAGGTCCTAGAGGGGGTGGTTCAGGGTTTTCCACAAATTAGATTATAAAGTGGCATTCCTCTGAAAAAAGACCGCAAGCCTCTGGACACCCACCTGCCTAAACACTAGGGTGAGCATGGATTCCAAACTCCACAGAGCAGACTTACAAATGGCTCCACAGGCTTTTCCAGGTTCTGTGGGCTCATGCACATGGACCACAATGGCTTTTCAGCATCTGCCTCTCCTGTCAGGCCTGTCACTGTGATCCCATTCACACCTGACTTAGAGCAAGAGCACTGCCAGTTCAGTAGCACCCCCAATGCCCATGGGTCAGCTAACCTGGCATATGCAGCAGTAGACAATGAAAAGAGAGAACCTGCCTCAAACAAGATGATGGTGAGGTATGCTGAAGGTTGTCCTCAGACCTCCAAGGAGCATAGCAGCACACGCATGGTCACGCTTACAAACAGGAATGAGCTCTCTGCCAGCACAGCAGCACACACATGGTCATGCTTACACACAGGAATGAGCTCTCTGCCTCTGTCTCTTTGTATCTCCCTCCTTCCCTTCCCTCCCTGTCACACTCTCTCTCACACACACAGGCCAACACAACTATAGTATGGCTACCAGGAGTAAATCTGATTTTCATGTCTAAAAAATAAATTAGTAGATGATGTTATAGTATTTGCATTTTGTAATACAATAATAGAATTTTACAACCATCTGAAGTCTACATTT